CCCGCCTCTACTAAAAATACAAAAATTAGCTGGGTGTGTTGTTGGACACCTGTAATGCCAGCTACTTGGGAGGCTGAGGCAGGAGAATCGCTTGAACCCTGGAGGAAGAGGTTGCAGGGAGTCAAGATCATGCCATTGCACTCCAGCCTGAGCAACAAGAACAAAATTTTGTCTCGAAATAAACCAAAATGGGAGGTTTGAGCTTTCCAACCATGTTCTTCTTTTTCTTTTTTCTTTTTTCTTTTTTTTTTTGAGACGGAGTTTTCGCTCTTGTTACCCAGGCTGGAGTGCAATGGCGAGATCTCGGCTCACCGCAACCTCCGCCTCCTGGGTTCAGGCAATTCTCCTGCCTCAGCCTCCTGAGTAGCTGGGATTACAGGCACGCGCCACCATGCCCAGCTAATTTTTTTGTATTTTTAGTAGAGACGGGGTTTCACCATGTTGACCAGGATGGTCTCGATCTCTTGACCTCATGATCCACCCACCTCGGCCTCCCAAAGTGCTGGGATTACAGGCTTGAGCCACCGCGCCCGGCCCATGTTCTTCTTTTTCAAGATTGTTTTGAATATTTTGGGTTTCTTGAGATTCCATATGAATTTTAGGATCAGCTTGTCGATTTCATCCAAGAAGCCAGCTAAGGTTCTTAAAGGGATTGCATCTTCTAATCTGTGAAAATGGGATATCGTTTTATTTAGGTCTTAAAATTTGTTTCAGCAATGTTTTGTAGATTTTAGAGCATGAAGTTTGTATTTTTTCGTTAAATTTATTAAGTGTTTTCTTTTTTCTGATGCTGTTGTAGGTGGAATTTTCTAGAAATTGTTTTCAGATTGTTACAAGTGTATGAAATACAAGAGATTTTTGTATGTTAATCTTGTATCCTGCAACCTTGCTGAACTGATTTATGAATTGTAATAGTTTTAGTAGATTCTTTAGGATTTTTTATGTACAGAATCATGTCATATGAATAGAGATCATTTTTCTTCCTTTCAGATGTGGATGCTTTCAATTTCATTTTCTTGCTTGGTTGCCCTGGCTAGCCTTCAGTACAATGTTGAACAGAAGTGGCAAGAGCCTGGATTTCCAGCTCTCTGCTGGAATCCCCTCCCACATAGTGGGGGCTAAAAAAAAAAAAGTGGCAAAAGAAGGCATCCTTGTTTTGTTCCTGGTCTTAGGGGGAAGCATTTGGCCTTTCACCATGGAAGTGTGCTGTTAGTTGTGGGGTTTTCTATATGCCTTAGGTTGAGGGGCTTCCCTTATATTCCTTGGTTGTTGAATATTTTAGTTTACTTTTAACTATATACAGATATATTACTTTCCAGTTAAAGTAGTCAGTTAAGTAATCAGCATTTTAGACATAATATATAGTCCTGCGCTGCATTTGCGCCAACGATGGGCCCGTGGTCCCATAAGATGTTTCTTTGCTGTATCTTTCCTGTGTTTAGATACTTATAGTTACCTATAGTATTCAGTACTGTAACATGCTCTACAAGTCTGGAGTCAGCAGCAATAGGCTATACCATAGAGCCTGGGTGTGTAGTAGGCGCTACGATCTAGGTGTGTCTAAGTGCACTCTAGAATGTTGACACAATAGTGAGATCACCTAATGATGCATTTTTCAGAATGTACCCTCATTGTTAAAGCTTAATTTTAATGTTACTTTGCTTACCCCTTCCCGAGCTGATCGACACATAGGTTGCTTGGGTTTTCTTCATGGTCACAAGGTGTGTGTTAGTCAACATTCAGCCGGTATTTTTGGAGCAGCTATGGGTGCCGGGTGGTGTTTTCAAGGCTGAGGATACCAAAAGTCAGCCATCTCTACCTTTCTGGAGTTTCTGTTTGGACGGAGAGAGTAGTGTGAAGCCTTCTGTCCAGAGGATGGGTCTGCTGGTGGGAAGGCCTGTCACTGTGGTGACAGTGGGAGGTGATGGCTAAGAGGTGACGAGAGCAGCTGAATGGATCTGTCTGCTCAGCCCACTTCCCCAGGGCCTACCCTGCATGGATGATTGGGGACGAATGCTCTCCTTCCAGCTGCATTCAGTCCCTGCGCACTCGTGTTCTTGCTGTTGGCTCAGAACTCCCTCTCCCAGCCTCTCCTGGTGTCGTCATGCCCCAGGCTCCCTGCTGGTCACTCTAGCCCACTCTCCTTGGGCTGATCCTGGGCTGCAGGGAACCAGATGGTTGTTGGCTGGTCTGTCCCACACAGCTAACTGACGAGGTGATTTCTGGGGCAGGAGTGGAGGCAGCACAGACAGTGAGGACGAAGAAGAGGAGGAGGAGGAGGAGGAAGACGAGGAGGGCATTGGCTGTGCAGCCCGTGGAGGGGCCACCCCGCTGTCCTTCCCCAGCCCCGGTCCTCAGCCTCCAGGTGAATGAACAGGCGGTGTGGTCAGATGTCCATAGGGTGTTGGCCTGCTGCCAAGCTCACCCTCTGCTGCCCCCCTACCTCTACCCCAGGCCCCGTCTGGACAGCCACCTTTGACCCAGTGCCTACGGATGCCCTGACCAGCCCCCGAGTCTCCGGGGAGGAAGAGCTGCACACTGGGCCTCCAGCCCCACAGGGGCCCCTCATTGTGCCCCAGGGCTTCCTCACCCAGAGCCTGGCCAGCCCTCCAGCTCATGATGCCCTGCAGCTCAGGTGAGAACCAGATGGGACGGGCTGGATGGCGCCAGTATCCTGAGGCCAGGGAGGTGGTCATGGCATCCCAGTTCTCTTGTAGGCCTGAGCGCTGACCCTAGCTGCCCCCTTGGGCTGCCTCTCTTGCCTGCCAGGTCTCAGGACCCCACAAACCCCTCAGCACCTCAGGAAGCCATGGACGGCAGCAAAGTCGTGGAGCCCTCAGGTGAGCCTCTCTTTGCCCTGCCCACCCGTGGCCCTGGGCAGAGAGAGCAGCCTGGCTCTGAGCTTGCCGGGAGGCTGCGGCTGAGACCTCTCATCCCCCACAGCCCCCTGCCAGGCCTTGGTCAGCGTCGGGGACCTCCAGGCCACCTTCCACGGGATCCGTTCTGCCCCCAACTCCTCGGACAGGTGAGCAGCGAGGCGGGGCTTGCTCTGGGGAGGGGCTGGTATCAGGAGAAGTCTTTTCTCCTCCTCAGTGAGGTGGGCTTGGGTTTGTCTTGTCCCTGAGCTGCTCCAGGTCACCTTTGCAGGACCCCAGGCCCAGCCTCATGTCATGCCCCAGCCCCCTGCACTCTGCAGTCTGGTTCTTCTCTTAGTAGCCTGAGATGCTCAGGGCACCCAGGGTTGGGAAAGGCTCCCTGGAGGGTGTGAAGGATTGAGAAGGTCAGAGCATACAGGAGACCCCTTGGGGCTGTCTCAGCCGGCCTCGACCGCCTCCTCCACAGGGACAGGAACATGAAGGGAGGTGCTTGTCCTCTTGCCCAGGGCTGTGCAGTCCCTCCACGCTGAGCCAGCTGCGTCCTCGGGAGGCCCCTTCTGGTGGGGCAGGTGGTGGACACCCAGTGAGCCAGCTGAAATTGGCATGGGTGTGAGGGTGTCGGCAGGTGACACTGACAGCCGCACCTGCCTCTCACCCACAGTGCAACCAGAGACCCCTCTACCTCTGTCCCAGCCTCCGGGGCCCACCAGCCCCCGAAGACCACCGTCGGGGAGAAGAGCCCAGAGCCCTTGGGGCTTCCCGAAAGCCAGAGGTAAGTACCAGGGCAGTGGGGTGGGGCAGGGCGGGGCTGGCGGGCAGGAAGTGACCTCTGCACATCCCCTCCCTCCCGTGACAGTGCCCAGGCCCTCACGCCTCCTCCAGTGCCCAATGGCTCTGCCCCGGAAGGGCCTGCATCACCGGGCTCCCAGTGAGTGTGGCTGTAGCCTGGGGCTGGGCAGGTGGGGTTGGGCCTGCTGGACCCTCACATGACATCTCTCTCTGTTTGCAGGTAGCTGCCTGGTGTGGCAGCAGCTGCCAAATCTTCTGTCCTCCCGTGGATCTCCCAGGGTGGGGGCAGGGCGGGTCCCATGATGGCCCCCGTTGCCCTCATCACCCTGACCCTCCCACATTCTCTCCTTTGGACCCCCAGGAGGCTGGTGCCAGGGAGACAGGCCCAACCCACCCCCATTTGCACTGAGAAGAGAAGTTTTGGAGCATTGCCTCCTAGAATAAAGATAAAGAAAGTCAAATAGAGAGAATGGAGAGAGAGAAATGTCTATTATATATTATATATAGAGAGAGGGAGGAGAGCGAGAGAAGGTGAGAACACCGAGCTGGGCTGGCAGCTCCCGAAGCACAGCTTCCCGTCCTGTCCCAGCGGGGGCTGGTGGTAGGGGTCCAAGGTTGCTGCCCATGTGCCCAGCCGTCCTATGCTCAGGCACAGATGGCCATTCCCACACCCGGCCTTTCAGCTCAGGTCCACCATGGGGGACGGCCCAGCGAGGCTGGGGGTGCCAGAGGGTCCCGAGTGGGGGCCGTGCCTTTGCCCAGACCCTGCACTTTCGACCAGACCAGTCCGGCTCTGGGGAGCAGGGGCCTCCCCGGCAACACCCCCAGGGAACCTGAGGGTCTGGGGTCCCAGCCCTGTTGCCAAGTGGCCTTGTCCAAGCTCCTTCCTCCCAGGCTGGTGTGAGTGTGTGTGCGTTCATGCCGAGCTTCTATTTCATATTGCAAATATAAATAAAGGAAGACAGTTTACGATTCTGCTGGTCAGACCGTATATTCTGGGATGCGAGGTGGACAGCCTGTGTTATCCCTGTACCCCAGTGGCTGGGGGTACTCCTAACCCAGTCTGTCCCCACACCGTGTCCTGCCAGAGGGAGTCCTGTGGCTGCAGAGGCCACAGGCTGGGCCAGGCACTGGCTGTGATGGTTCCTGCCAGGCCTACTCCACCTGTGGGCAGGGCCATGGGTGGAGGATAGAAGCCACCATCGGGGGCTCAAATTCCTGCTCCTATCCCCCTTTGGTAACCAAGCCCAGCATTGAGGCCGGGCACTGGCGCCCAGTAGGTCTGAGTCTCAGGCGGAAGGTGGAAGTGTAGGCCGGTGCACAGCGAGTGGCACAGGGGAGCAGTGCCAGGAAGTCTCTGTGTCGGCTACACTGGACCATGTGGGCCGGTGGTCATGAGGACAGCAGCCTCACTGGGGTGGCAGCTGGTTTGGAGGTCACCTAGGGCTGGCTCAGGTAGCAGGAGAGGGTGCTTATTCCTTGCATTCTTGGGGGCCCCCTCCTTGTAGCCCACTGAGGAAGTGTTTGTGGTGGAGCCCCTGAGGGCCTGGTAGGGTTGAGCAGAGTGAGGGAAGGTTTCATGGGGCAGGGAAGGGTCTGCTAGGCCAGCACGTGAAGGAGGGACTCGCCTTCCCATCCTCCCAGGGGTGTTCCTGCCAGCCAGCCCCCTCCCCCAGCTTTCCCACGAAGGGGTGGCTGTTGGAATTCTGCACTCCATCTCTTGTGATTGTCTGGGCCCAGGACAGTGGGATGGGCATTTGGGGACCTCACCCCCCCAGCAGACAGGAGGAGGAAGCCATGTCCCAGCAGGCTAGGGCAAGGGACCCCCGATGCCAACAGTGCCTTATCAGCAGGTGCCAGGCAAGGCCATCCCCAGGGTGAGGGCGACATCTCCCCGGGCCCTGTTATCAGTTGCAGAGTCCACAGGACGCTCATTGGGTTAACGTGTAACCATGAGCCCTCCCCTCCACCCCCTGGAGCCACCCGCTCCCAGTTTAGGTTGCTCTGAGGGTATCAGGCCAGCATGGATGCTGGCAAAGTGGGGCTGACCCTGAAGACTCACTGCTCAGCCCAGGTGAGAGCCTTAGGAGCCATGCTTGGGGCTGGGGGATAGGGCTCCAGAACCCCAGCAGCTGGGGGCTCTGGGAGGTGCTGTCCTTGAATTGGCTGGAGTCCTGGGAAGCTGGTTTCTGGCAGCCTGGTCCCTGAATGAGTCCAGCCTGTACAGCTGGGGTCCCAGGTGGGGGTGGAACAGGAGCCAGGAGATCTGAGTCCCAAGAATGGGGGCTGGGCTGGGCTTCAGCTCAGCAGCTCCCTGCTTCCCAAAGTGCCTAGATGTCTGCAAGTGGCTGATTCCCTTCATCCTCTCCTGCTGCGTGTACTTCTGCCTCTGGATTCCCGAGGATCAGCGGTCCTGGGTCGCTGCCCTGGTCAAGTGCCTGCCCATCTTCTGCCTTGCTGGGTTCCTGTGGGTTGTGTCCCTAGGTGGGGGCTACACCCAGCTCCTCCAGGGAGCCCTCCTATGCTCGGCTGTTGGGGATGCCTGCCTCGTCTGGCCTGAAGCCTTCCTCCATGGTGAGTGGAAGCTGCCATGACGCCTTTCAGATGCCCATGTCGGGGAGGCCCAGCATTTGGATGGGAGCTTGGAGTGCAGAGGGCTCCGGTGGGCGCTTTGGTGGGAGTTCTGGTGGTCAGAGGCATTGGGGGCGCAGCCGTGAGCCAGGCAGCTCATGTTCCAGTGAGGGCTGGTGGGCAGGTGGTGTTAAGGCAGTAGCTGGGGGCGGCGTGGAGGACAGTGAGGACCCTGGGCTGGAGGTGCTGCAGTTGGAAGCAGGGTTGCTGAGGAAGGCTTCACTGAGGAAGTTTTTTGGGCAGACCTGAAGAAGGTGCCATGTGCCTGTGTGAGGGCGAAGGGCAAGTCCAGAGGCTCCAGGGCAGGGGCATGCCAGATGCTTGTGGCCAAATGGGCCAGGGTGGCTGGTGGGCCAGAGCACATGGGGCCTGCTGGCAGTTCAGAGCAAAGCAAGTACATGACACTGCATTTGGGGAAGCCTGCAAGGAGGCTCAGCCAGGGTGCGGGCTGGTGCTTTGGGCCGATCCTTCCCCTTAGGTCCTGAGAGGTGACCTCGGGGCGATACCAGAATGAGCCTTCCTCACCAGCACCCTACCCCTCTCCCCAGGTATGGCTGCCTTTGCTACAGCCCACCTCCTCTACCTCTGGGCCTTTGGCCTCTGTCCCCCACAGCTGGGCCTGCTGCTGCTCATCTTCCTGGCCTCTGGCCCCTACCTCATCCTCGTGCTGCTGCACCTCGAGCCGGATATGGTCCTCCCCGTGGCAGCCTACGGGCTGATCCTGATGGCCATGCTGTGGCGTGGCCTGGCCTGGGGTGGGAGTGCCGGCTGGGGCGCGCTGCTCTTCACACTCTCTGATGGTGTGCTGGCCTGGGACACCTTCGCCCAGCCCCTGCCTCACGCCCGCTTGGTGATCATGACCACCTACTACACTGCCCAGCTCCTCATCACACTGTCAGCCCTCAGGAGCCCGGGGCCCAAGACGGACTGACTAGGCAGCTTGAAGGGCCGGCTTCCAGGCCCTCTCCTCCCGCAAGGATTCGGGCCTCCCAGACCAACCCAGCCTGAGAAGCACCCTTTGCAGCGAAGCTTCTTCATGCCTGTCTGCAGGCGCAGGCCCTGCCGCCACTGCTCCCGGCTGAAGACGTTTAAGGACCATTCACAGAATTCCGAGTCCACTGCTGGGTTCCAGCTGCCTTCCCCCAGTTCTGACTCCAGATCCCCGGCTCCTCAGCCAGGCCCACACGTGGCCCTCCCAGCCACCAGCCCACCTCCAAGTTCGCTGTGGGCCCCACGGTCTACCAGCCCCTCCCTGCTGCTCTGAGTCATTTTCGTTGTCTAAGTAGAGGGCATGGAAGTGTAGATGCTGCTGTTATTGTGGGAGAGGCATGCGGATGATGATCCTGGTGATAAACTGTCTCGGCTCATGGCAGCGGATGTCTCTTGGTCACTCCCCATGAACCAGGCCTGGTGCCCAGTGGGACCCTCCCTGGCTCTCTGGTGGGGGGCATTCGAGGGGATAAAGGTGAGGATTGTGCAGAACTTAGCCAAGAGGACTGTTGAGCCTCTGCGTTTGTTTCCTGGGGCTGCCATCACAAATTACCCCAAACCAGATGCTTTGAAATGAGGAATGGGCTCTCCTGCAGTTCTGGAGACCCAAAGTCCAAGATCAGGGTGTTTTCCGGCCCTTGCTCCCTCCTGAGGCTCTGGGGAAGAATCCGTCCTTGCCTTCTCAGCTTCCGGAGGCTCCCAGGAATCGCTGGCTTCTCTCAGCCTGTGGCAGCTGTGTCTCTGCTGTCTTCATGTGACTCTCTTCACCTGGCAGCCTCCTCTGTGTCTTTCGTCCTTCTAGGGACATGGGGCACTGGATTTAGGGCCCACCCTAAATCCAGGTGATTTCATCTCAAGATGCTTAACTATGTCTGCAGAGACCCTGTTTCTAAGTACCATCACCTATATAGGCACCTGGGCTTAGGACTTGGACATATCTGTTTAGGGGACGCAACCCACTACAGTCACATGCGTATCAGGGGAGAAGGGTAGGAGGCTTGAGGATGAGGGGCCTTGGAGGAGGGGAGGGTGACAAGGGGGAGGAATCAGGAAGGAGGAACCCAGGTGTGTTCCTTGTCTTGGCTATGTGACCTTGGCAAGCTGCTGTCCCTCTCTCGTCTTTAGATTCTGCATCTGAGGACTTGACAGGGTCCAAGATGCTCTCCAAGACCTTACTTGACTTCTACATCCATGATGTGCCTTTAGTGACTCATATAGCAGGGAGGTGACTTCTCCATCCATGGCCAGCGTTAGGGACTCTTACAGCAGAGACGCGAGTTCTCCATCCGTGACCTGCATTTAGGGACTCTCGGATGTGAGGGTACAGAGGTGGGAAGGGAAGGTGGGGAGCCTGGAGGACGGGGACCAGGAATCAAAGTGAGGATGGGAATCCACAGTTGGAGTGAGGAGATCCAGAAGCTGAGGAGAGATTTCCCTGAGGAAGCGTCAGGCAGGAGGAGGATGTGAACGATTGGACTCAGGCTTGAAACTTCTACTTCCTCATCTCCTCCCTTCCTCCTCACTCAGACCTAATGAAAGGCAGGGAAAGAGGAAATTCTGCAGCGAAGTGCAACAGGAGGTACTGGGTCTGGGTGTGCAGATTCCAGGGCTGCATGGCGCCTGCAGACGTGAGGGGTCCTGGGGTGCCTGGTGTTGTTAATGAGTGTGGACGCCAGAGAGGAGGGACTGGGACTGAAATCCTGAGTCTGGGAGAAGGGAGCTGGCAACTCAGACCCCTGGGTCCCGGGGAGGAGGGGCTGGAGTCTGGAGGAGGGGCTGGGGGCCTGGACTCCTGGGTCCCAGGGAGGAGGGGCTGGAGTCTGGACTCCTGGGTCTGAGGGAGGAGGGGCTGGGTCTGTAATCCCTGGTGTTTTGGGGAACACTCTGGCTTTGGGTCCCTGAGCTTTGTGGGGTTGGCTGTCCGGAGTGATGGGGTGCTGCTCTCCTGTGGGTTCCCAGCAGCCCTAGCATCCCGTCCCCCCTCCCTGATTCTGGCCCCCGTGTCCTGTCTCCCTTTTCAAAGGTCTGCTTTCTCATGATCTGTCATTTGCATTTCTCAAAAGCAGAACTCCCTGAGCTGCTGTGCACAACCCTCTCAGGCTCCTTCCAGCCCTGCCAGGACCAAGACCTGGGAAAGTGGCAAAACGCCAGGTCCCTCTTCCCTTGCAGACTGGGTGGCTGGTAGGGATGAGGCAGGGTGGGACTCAGCAGCCTTCGTCCTGATTCTGCAGGTCAGACCATCCCTCGGTCTGATTCCCTGTCTGATCCCTCCCCAGGCCCTCTGGATCACAGCAGAGGCCACAACAGCAGGTTAGTGACCCCATCATCCTCCATCCTGCACGTCCAGGAAGACCCGTGGGATTCCCTTCCCTTCGCATTGCAGAGCCTTCTCCCCATGTCTCGGCCCCCAAGGCAGACAGAATCCTGAGTGTGGAGGTTCCGGCTCCATCACCCTGAGCTGGACAGCCCCGAGGGCCCAGACCTGCAGACCTCCCTCCACTGGGTCCAGTGCCATGGGGCGGGCATGGCCGGCAGAGACACAAGCACGTCAGACTGCTGGCTGGTGGAGGGGCTTCAGCCTGGGGCCCTCTACACCTTCTGTGTGTGGGTCGAGAGAAAGGAATAGGTGGCCCCAGGGACGTCCTGAGCGTGTCTGCAGGTAAAAGGGGCCACCTGTCCACTGCCCAGTAATGTTTGTGTATGTGTGTGTGTGTGTGTGTGCGCGCGCGCACATTTGCAGAAAGTGCCAGGCTGTGCACTTTAGTCTCATGATGAGAACTACAAACAAACCATCAAAAGACTCTCGGTATTCCTAACCCAGTCCCTAGCCTGGTCATGCAGGCTCAGACCACCAGCTCCCTCACCCTGAGGCCCCTGCAGGCCCAGACCCCAAGACCTGCACCTCCTGGCTCTGCTGGCCAGTGACTCCTCAGACGCCAGGGTGCCCATGGAGAGCCTGGCTTCAGGGACCCAGTACCCCACCATGCGGGCCCATAAGCATGAGGCCAGCAGCCCCAGCCAGATACTCACAGAGGCCATGGGCGAGGGGTGACAGCACCCCAGGCTTAGGGAGTAGGAGGCCTCTGGCTTCTGGGCCCCACTGATAGGATATATTCCTCCGTAGCAAGCAGGGCTGTGGGGAGGAGGGGTGATTCCCTTTGCTCTGGAGGCCCAGGGACTATGGGGTGTGGTCTGTGAAGCAGGTTCACCGTGCACTAGTTACTAACTTGCCGGAGTCCAGTGAGGTGGAGCGCCACACACAAAAAGTTACACAAAGTGGGCTTGTTACTCACAGATGGGGAGCAAGGGTCCATTGTGAGCTAGTTCCCCAAGGCTTAGGAGAGTGGCCTAGGGGGGATAGGGTCACAACTGTGTGTCCCTTACTTGTATGGCAGCCTAGGACCCGCAAAATTATCCAGTCCTGGGCTTTATGCTCTGGGTGAAACGAGTCCGTGGGCTCGAGCATTGAAGGGCGTCCTGCTTCTAGGGCAGGCGGGAACGGAGCCAGGCTGCCTGGCCAGTCCTTCTTATGCATTCCCAGCACATCCTACAGTTATTCTTGAGAACTGCAAGTGAGAGCAGACTGAGTCAGTTTACGGCCACTCAGAGAACCATCCTGCAGGAACCCTGACCCCTGCCCTTCCTTTCCTTGCCTAGCCAGGTAATGGATCTGAGGATGCAGGCTCTGACCCTGAGTTCTGTCACACTAAGGTGTACATTCCCCTGGGCCCAGACCCCACACCTACTGGGTCCAGTGGGCAGGGACTATGGGACCAGAAATGTAGCAGAGGTGGGGGTCATCGTCAAGGCCCTCAAATCCGGGACCTCATAAACCTTCATCTTGTGGGCTGAAAGGAATGGCATTGGAGGTGACAGCTGGACCCTTTGTATGTCCTTAAGACAGGGCATCCTGTCTAGCCTGGATGTGTTTTCTGCCCAGGCCTCACTCCTAGCCAGCTTGAGCTGTGCTCCTGAGGCCCAAACAGGCTTGAAATGTCTCTTTGACTGGTCTACTCTGTTGCTACGGGCATACCTCCTTAGCAACAACTTTCAGTGATGCCTAGAAGGCTCATGTACTATGTAGAGAACCTGAAATAGATGCCCCATTCTGACTTCTATTTTATTTTTTTCTGAGATGGAGTCTCTGTTGCCCAGGCTGGAGTGCAGTGGCGCCATCTCAGCTCACTGCAACCTCCGCCTCCTGGGTTCAAGACTTTCTCCTGCCTCAGCCTCTTGAGTAGCTGGGACTCCAAGCACATGCCACCATGCCTGGCTCATTTTTGTATTTTCAGTAGAGATGGGGTTTCACCATGTTGGCCAGGCTGGTCTTGAGCTCCTGACCTCAAGTGATCCAGCTGCCTCGGCCTCCCAAAGTCCTGGGATTACAGGTGTGAGCCACTGTGCATAGCCCATTCTGACTTCTAGTCTCTAATCTGGAGATGGTCACTTGGACTGCCAGCTCCATCACCCTGAAGGAGACAGCGCCCCAGGGCCAGGACCCTCAAGTCCAAACCTGCTTTGTGCAACGGGACCGGGCGGGCATCCTGGAGAACAGCAAGAGCATGCAGGACACCAGAATCGCCACTGAGGCTGAAAGCCAAGCCCCGCTCCACCTTCGCTGTGTGGGCCAGGGTGTTAAAGTGCTGGCACTGTGCACAGGTGAGCTGAGGCTGAGTATGGTGGGAGGTGAGTGGGAGGTGGAGTCAGCATCCCCGTCCCACCCTCCCGGTCTCGGGCATCTAGGGAATAGCGCTTTTGGGGGGATCTGCTGCTCAAGATGTTGAAAGGCTAATTCTATGCCTTGGACTTAAGTTCCCAACAAAGTCACAGGTCTGCAGAGCAAAACTCAAACGAAGAGCTCAATTACCCTGAGTGGAAGGCCGCAAGGGGCTGGGATTTATCGCCCTCCACGGCTGGCTTTGGACATCCAGGGGTGGACACCCCGAAGAGTGCCCACACCAGCACATGAGTGGGACCAGTGTGTCAAAGGCAAAGGAAACTCACTATGTGGTGGACAAACTCCACCCTGGCACCTGGTACCTCTTTAGTGTGTGGGCAGAGAGACAGGCAGTAGCCAGTTCCCCATAGAGCCTCTGGATGTCCACAGGCAAGCTGGATAATGAGCCAACGTGTTAGACTTGAGTCAAGGTTGGATGTGGAGTTCAGTGGCGTTCAGAGCCAGATGAACTACAAATCCCATCAGTCTGTGGGACAGGGCCTCCATGAGTTATAGCCACATGGCGTCGTCATGCTCATGGGAGTTGTAGGAATTTTTTTTTCCCCCCCAAGAGGCACAGTCTCTCTCTGTCCCCAGGCTGGAGTGCAGAAGAGCAATCATGACTCACTGCAGTCTCAGACTCCCGGGCTCCAGTGATCTTCCTGCCTCAGCTTCTCAAGTAGTTGGGACTACACATGCCTGCCACCATGCCCTGTTACTTAATTTTTTTTGTAGACGTGGGGTCTCACTGTGTTGACTAGGCTGGTCTTGAAGTTGTGAGCTCAAGTGATCTACTCACCTCAGCCTCCCAAAATGTTGGGGTTACAGGTGTGAGCCACCACATCTGACTGAGAATTTTTTTTTTTTTTTTTTTACGAGGGGGTTGGTAATGGGGAGAGGGAGGAAGGAGAGAAGGAAGAAAACATCCAAGTGGTAGAGAGGAACATGGTTCTCAGTAGCATCTGACTCAAGCTCCTCCTCCCAAGGAAGAAGGGCAAGGGATACTGAAGAGTGATGTGCCGATGCCCTGGTAGGTGGTGTGTCTGCTCATCTTCCACCCGTTAGACCTGTTCTACAATCACTATCTAAAGCTACAACTCGCATGAGCCTCGGGCACACACTGTTGATGTGATACATATAGTATGACCCCATGGCCTGTTGGGACTTTTAATCCAAGTGACTCTTGCTGAACTCCAAGTCCGACTTAAACCCAGAACACAGAGGTATTTGGAAAACCCTGCTGGCCATGATGTTGGAGCGCAGAGAAGCTGGTGCCAGTCCCCACATCCAAGCATTGGGTGCACCTGAAGAGGTCCTAACCCACTTCTGATGCCTGCCTGTGGCTCAGACACATCCACTGTCCTTTGACCTTAGAGAGACTTCCTTGTTCTTATCTTTATTTTATTAAAAAAAAATTTTTTTTTTGAGACAGAGATCTCGGCTCACTGCAACCTCTGCCTCCTGGGTTCAAGCAATTCTCCTGCCTCAGCCTTCCAAGTAGCTGGGACTATAGGCGCCTGCCACCACGCCCAGCTAATTTTTGTGTTTTAGTAGAGATGGGGTTTCACTATGTTGGCCAGGATGGTCTCAATCTCTTGACTTCATGATCCACCTGCCTTCGCATCCCAAAGTGCTGGGATTACAGGTGTGAGCCACCATGCCTGTTAAGTTTTTATTTCTTGAGAAGAAGCCTTACTCTGTTGCCCAGGCTGCAGTGCAGTGGTGCAATCTCGGCTCATTGCAACCTCTGCTTCCTTGGCTCAAGTGATTCTCACGCCTCTGCCTCCTGAATAGCTGGGATTACAGGCATACGCCAATATGCCCAGTTAATTTTTGTATTTTTTTAAAGTAGAGATGGCGTTTCTCCATGTTGGCCAGGCTGGTCTCGAACTCCTGGTCGCAAACGGTTTGTCCACCTCAGCCTCCCAAAACACTGGGATTACTGGCATGAGCCACTGTACCCAGCCCCTTGTCTTTTTAAAATGCTCCTTTTTTTTTTTTTTTTTTTTTTTTTTTTTAAATAAAGCCTCACTGTCACCCAAGCTGTAGTGCAGTGGCACCATCTTCAATCACTGCAGCCTCCGCCTCCTGGGTTCAAGAGATTCTCCTGCCTCAGCCTCCCCAGTAGCTGGGATTACAGGTGCACACCACCACGCCCAGCTAATTTTTGTATTTTGAGGAAAGATGGAGTTTCACCATGTTGGCCAGGCTGGGCTCAAACTCTTGACCGCAGGTGATCCGCCCACCTTGGCCTGCCAAAGTGGTGGGATTACAGGTGTGAGCCACCACTCCTGGCCCCTGCTGCACTTCTTGAAGTCAGCTCCACAGTCTCAGGCTGGGGCAGCAAATCAGGAATAGAATATTTATCGGGACATAGATGTGACTGATGGTCTGTTCCGAGACGTGGCTGGCTCCATGGAGAGCCTTAACCAGAGCGGACCAGAATATGTCAGTGTCTGGGAACTTTGAGTAAAAGGACTTGGGAATGTGGGGAGCCAACACCCTCATTCTGGGATCTGAATGGGGAAAGGGGAAGGAGCCCTGGATTCCTGAGAGGAACTGTCCTGGCAGCCATGACTCCCATGTCCTAAGGGGAAGAGGAGCTGGGAGTCATATCCTAGCCTTTTTCTTTTCCCTTTGTTTGTTGAGATAAAGCTCAGTTACATTTAATGGAATGCATCTTAAATCATACATATCAGTGAAATTGTTTTTTGTTTTTAGTTTTGAAATAGAGTCTTGCCTTGTTGCTCAGGCTGGAGTGCAATGGCATGATCTTGGCTCACTGCAACCTCTGCCTCCCAGGTTCAAGCAATTCTCCGGCTTCAGCTTCTGGAATAGCTGGGATTACAGGCGCCTGCCACTGAGCCCAGCTAATTTTTGTATTTTTAGTAGAGACGGTGTTTCACCATGTTGGCCAGGCTGCTCTCAAACTCCTGACCTCATGATCCACCCACCTGAGTCTCCCAAAGTGCTGGGATTACAGGTACGAGCCACCGCACCTGGCCCAATGACATAGTTTTTGTGTATACACAGAGTAATCAATGTATAGAATATTTTCTGCATCTTAGCAGGTTCTCTAGTCTCCCCTCCAGTTTGTAGCCCCCTGCCCCGAGAATGACCACTCCTGATCTTTATCACCATAAATTAATTAGTCTGTTCTTGAACCTTCTCTAAGTGGAGCTATGCAGTATGTAGTTGTTTGAGTCTGGCTTTCTTCACTAAACATTGTGGATAAAATGTGGATCCACGTTGTATGTTTTTATTTCATTTTTATTTTTATTTATTTATTTATTTTTGAGACGGAGTTTTGCTCTTGTTACCCAGGCTGGAGTGCAATGGCGCGATCTTGGCTCGCCGCAACCTCCGTCTCCCGGGTTCAGGCAATTCTCCTGCCTCAGCCTCCTGAGTAGCTGGGATTACAGGCACACGCCACCATGCCCAGCTAATTTTTTGTATTTTTAGTAGAGACGGGGTTTCACCATGTTGACCTGGATGGTCTCGATCTCTTGACCTCGTGATCCACCCGCCTCGGCCTCCCAAAGTGCTGGGATTACAGGCTTGAGCCACCGCGCCCGGCTCATTTTTATTTTTTGAGACTGAGTCTTGCTCTGTTGCCCAGGCTGGAGTGCAGTGGCACAATCTCGGCTCACGGCATCCTCTGCCACCCAGGTTCAAGCCATTTCCCTGCCTCAGCTTCCTGAGTAGCTGGGGTTACAGGCGCGTGCCACCACGCCAGGTTAATTTTTTTGTATTTTTAGTAGAGACGGGGTTTCACCATGTTGGCCAGGATGGTCTCAATTTCTTCACTTTGTGATCTGCCTGCCTCAGCCTCCCAAAGTGCTGGGATTACAGGCATGAGTCACCATGCCCGGCCGTGTGTTTTTATTTTTATTGCTGTGTAGTATTTATCCTGTGAATATATTACCATGTGTTGTTTCATCCCTCCTTTCATGAACATTTCATTCTTTCTAGTTTGGGGCTGTTATGAATACAGATACCATGTTATGAATACAGGTACCATCAACATGGCTTTGGTAGTTACTGACAAAGCATTTCTCAAAGCAGCTTAACCAATTTACCGTTCTGCCAGGAAGCTTCATTTGCTCCATATTCTTTTTTTTTTTTTTTTTTTTTTTTTTTTTTTTTTTTTTTTTTTGAGACGGAGTTTCACTCTTGTTACCCAGGCTGGAGTGCAATGGCGCGATCTCGGCTCACCGCAACCTCCGCCTCCTGGGTTCAGGCAATTCTCCTGCCTCAGCCTCCGGAGTAGCTGGGATTACAGGCACGCGCCACCATGCTCAGCTAATTTTTTGCACCATTAGTAGAGACGGGGTTTCACCATGTTGACCAGGATGGTCTCGATCTCTTGACCTCGTGATCCACCCGCCTCGGCCTCCCAAAGTGCTGGGATTACAGGCTTGAGCCACCACGCCCGGCGTTTGCTCCATATTCTTGCAAATAGTTGGTTGTTTGTCTTTTTTGTTTTAGTTCTTCTGTTGCGGTGTTCTGGTACTTCCTTGTGGTTTTAATTTCCATAATGACTAATGAAGTTGAACACCTTCCCTTTTGTGTGTGTGGGGGGGGTGTGTGTGTGTGTGTGTGTGTGTGGCCATATTGATATTATTCTTGGTAAAGTGTCTCTTCAAGTCCATTGCCTATTTAAAAAAATTGGGTCTTCTGCTTCCTTAGTTGGTTTGTAGGAGGTCTTTGAAAATATAAAGGGTTCAGCTCTTTTGTCAGATGTTTGTGTCACCAAATGTCATCATAGTCTAGTTTTTTGTTTTGTTTTGTTTTGGTTTTTTTGAGACTGAGTTTCACTCTTGTTACCCAGACTTGAGTGCAATGGCGCGATCTCGGCTCACCACAACCTCCGCCTTCTGGGTTCAGGCAATTCTCCTGCCTTAACCTCCTGAGTAGCTGCAATTACAGGCGCCTGCCACCA